GTTCAGAGAGACAGAACTGCCAAGGGGGTGGCAGAAAGATGCTTAGCGCCCGGCTACGACGCCTCTAACAGAAGAGCTTGAGAAAGCAGTTCTGGCAGTAGGGCTTGTCGTTCTGTTCTTTGAAGGTTCCTTTGTTGAGCTGCTTGAGGCAGAAGGCACAGACAAAGTGTTCGGGGTGAAATTTCTTGCCCATAGCAGTGATGCAGCGTCCTGTGATAGGCTTCTGGCAACCGGAGCAGAGCGAGCCGCGACGCTCGTGGTAATGCACCTCGCAGTAGGGCTGCCCGTCATGCTCAAAGAAGCTGCCATTGATGAACGGTGTGAAACATTCCTGCAGGAGGATAAAGCAGAAGGGGACAGGTTGTACGAGAAGCGGGGGATGCGGGCAGCTCCACGAGCCGCCCCTGCGCGGCGGCGCAGCCCAGCCGCACTGCGAGCGGGGCGAACCGCTGCCTTTCCGCACCGTCGTGTTGTTCAGAGAGCCAAACTCTGTCCATCACGTAGAGTTTCCAAGGAAAGGCTGACAGATGGACAGACACAGCCACAAGCAAGGGAATTAACCATGCCCCTTCCCCCAGCTGGCTTCACTTACACCAAGAAAACACAATAAATGAGCTACCAGATGTGTCCAGTCAGAAGGAAGGACAACACCTCTCCTTCCCGAGACAGGAAACACCACAGCACGTTTCCCCCTTTTTTTTTTTCTCCTCACTCCAGCTTCCCCACAACAGCAGGCAGTGGGGGACCAACAGAGACTTTCATGCAGCAGAATTCTGATGAACAATGGACGGGTTCCAGCTGAGAAAGTGAGGCACAGTTCATTTTCACAAGCGACCTCTCCAGGATAGCTGGCATTACACAGGGTCATCCATCCTGAAACATCTCCAGCACGGACACCCGCATCGCCACTGGGAGAAACCGCTGTTTGTTCTACAGCGCTAATGATTTTGAACAGACAAGAAGAGGATACACCAGCTCTGCGCTTAGTAGCATCCAGAGCTCCTCACCCCCCTCGCTGTCAGGCAGCTGAGGACGCTACACCTCAGAACCTGCAACAGAAGCACCTGCTCTCCCTGCGAGACTGAGGGGACCCCCCCTCCTTGTACAAGTGGGAAACTGAGGCAGCAGGGTGTGGGGGAAGAGTCAAGGATATTGCCAGATCTACCAAATAGATCAGCAGCAAGGCCCAGAGGAAAAGACAGATTTCCAGAATCCTGGTTTTGACCCAACATCATCCTCTTCCCCAGGGAGCACACACAGCATCACACGCAGCTGGACCCCACCACAGGCGCAGCAGTGCAGCAAACAGCATGCAGAGCCGCAGGTAGCTCAATGCTCACAGCACTGGGACGAATGCAGCTCGCCTGCAGCAAGTCCAAGACTCTTCTAATGCTGACAATTAGTTCAATAAATAGTCTCCTCCCTTAATCAGCAGGACAGCTGAAAAGTCTGCTCTGCTTTAGCAAAAACAGGAGGAGACTCCCATCTCGCGTCCCAGAAGACATCCGTGCTGTCCCCACTAACACAGGCAGTGTGGCAGCAGGGGGAAAGGCAAGCAGAACCGCTCGTAGAAGTCTCAATCTCTGCACAAAAAGGCACAGCTTCTGCAGGCTCACGCAGCCAGGACTGCCATCTTCTGCTTCCACCCTCTGGGAGCCACAGGTAGTTCTGGGCAGGCAGTCCCAACAGCACGGTGACAGTCTGCTCTGAGCTTCGCACCAGGAATCGGCAGCTTGTGGTTCTGCTGCTCATTCTGGTCTCTGCCTTTCTTTCCCACTCTAGGAAACACTGACTGATTTTGCTCATCTCTTGGGGCCTGTAAGAGTTAATATTTGCAAGGCTTTCTGAAAGAGTGCCAAGCTTTTAATCTGCAGTATTTCTGTTTATTATGCCTGTTGTATGGAGCCTGCCGCTATTCCACTGACTTGCATGTTTGTCTGAACAAGGTCAGCCTCATTAGTTTACATTGTCAGATGGAGCATGGGAGGAAGAGCCTCAAAATCTGATTGCTGAGGCAAGTGCTTAGAGAGAAGCTTAGCTTATAATTATTTAAAGGTCACAGAAAATATCTGTGTTTATCTGTGAGCTGCTACAGAAGCCCATAATTGCAGCTGGGAACAGAAAGAGCAAAGCAGCTAGAAAGTTTAATGTAAACAGGCAGAGGAACAAGAAGGTGTTTGGTTGCTGACATGTTTTTATCTGGCTGCCCTTCACTACCCCACAAGACGCCTTTTCCTGATAAGGGACCAGATGCCTGCAGGGTGGAAATGAGAGGGGTCGTACAGCAGCAGCAAAGGGCCTTGGGTTTCTTACCCGACAGACAAAGCACTCAGGGTGCCACAGGGTGTTCAAGGCAGAGATGTAGTTTTCCAGGATAGCCCGGGCACAGCCTCCACACTTGGGAGCAAACATGTCAAAGTAGTCTTTGCGGCAATAGGCTTTGCCATCCTTCTCGTGAAATCCTGCCAACAGAGAACAGAGGCGAAGACTATCAGCTCCTGACCTTTACCTAAGACGAGCCAAGCTCTGCGGGGTGACCAGCACGGGTAGGATCACCCCTCCCCGTTCTGAGGCACAGACACAGCAGGCAGCTGGTCCCTGTCCTGCCGCCCTTCCTGTCCCATGTGCACACGTGCGCAGGCACACTCTTCCTCTCCAGGCAGAAAAGAAGGTTGCTGCTGACACCCCTGCCCCAGGAACAGCTATATCCCTCGGAACTTCCATCTTCAGTAGTTCCCCTGCCACCTCTCAGGCTGTGCCCTAATAGCAGCTCTGCCGTACGCACTTGTCTGCAGTTCAGGGAGGAGACCGCATAAACCAGCAATACCTTCCGGTCCAAAGAAAGCTCCGCACTGGGCACAGAAAAAGTGTTCAGGGTGCCATGTCCTGTCCAAAGCCGTCACCACTTTCTGTTCAGAAGAAGACAAAGTGCAAGTCATGTAAATGACGGCTTCAGCTCGGAGGTAAGGGGGTAGAACACATTAATGTTGGTACTGACAAGAGCACGCATTAAAATAGCCTGTCCTTTAGAGAGCTGAGTCAATTCTCCCCCGCCTCTGGCTCACTCGGGCTTTCCCCACGGCACACTTTTTTTTACCCTAAAAGGATCTTATGCTCTGCTTCCTCCCTTACACAGGGCCCCGGGCAGCTCTCAGGACTAGCGCTGGTGCCTGTTACCACAGGCTACCGACAGACAAACGCTCAGGAACCATCACCGGAATGATGGAGCGATGTGAGGTTGTGAAAGAACTTCAGCAAAGGTAAGAGGGACTAACACCCCTCGCTAGTGTAAAAATTTTGACTGGGCCGTTTCCCTTTCAGAGCCAGGGCAAAGGAAAAACAGAAGTCCCCAAACAAAATCTTCCACCCAGGACATGTGGGTGAAGTGGAGTTTTTAACACCCAGGCCTGCAGCACCTTGCCAGCGCCCTTAATCCCCACAAGGAACTCACATCAAGGATCGGCCCATTGCAGTAGTAGCAGCGAGGGGAGAAGAGGTTGTGGTAGTCCTTCTCGCAATAGGGCTGACCGTCCCGCTCAAAGAAGTTCCGTGACCCGATCTCCTCCTGGCAGTGGGTGCAGACGAAGTGCTCAGGGTGCCAGGTCTTCCCCATGGCTGTAACTACCTGTTGGGAAGATACATTATGAAGGACAACTCTATCTCCCTCTCCGCTAGACCACATGACAAGACACCAGCTGGAGGTCAGCAAGAATGACAAGTTCTACTACTCAAGTGAGCCCTGGACTGGGGTAGCATGAAAACTGAATTACCTATCATCTCAGGAGAGGGCAGTCCCTCAAGGGCAGGGTAGAGGTCACTGGAGGAGCTTACAGCGTACCTAGCCAGTGGATAAATAGAGTACTTCAGTTTCTCCAGCATCTCCAGTCTCTTCAGCCTCACGAAACAGCCCTCCCCATTACTCCCAGCTGCAGCCCAAGATTCAGCAATGAGACAGCACCTTCAACTCACCTGCCCAGCAATAGGCTTCTTGCAGGCTCCACAGACACCTTTGGCAACTGTAGCTACGCCCAGTTTGTTCAGGTCCGACTGGAGACTTCCCAACATGGTGTCCAGCTGACTGCCAGGCTTGGAGGCCGTGGAGGGAGGGGAGCTGCTCCCAGCTTTCCCTTGTGCCATGAACTGCAGGGAAGAGAAAAGAAAGGCTGTAAGGCGAGTGCTGCTGTGCTTACATGGTAAACGCCTGCTGTTGCTGCCAGTGGCTCCTCTGTAGAGATGGAGACAGCTACATTCTCTGCAGAAGCCAGTGAGAGCCAGGACCAAGTACACACATGTATTCTACCCGTGCAGAGACATGCAGACACCCTGGGATGTATGAAAGCAGAGCTGTGAACTGAGAATTTGATTTTCCTTCGCTCTGCAAACAGCCAAAGTCACCAGCACATCCCCGGCACTCAGTACAGCGCTCTCGAAGCCTCTGCCAAAAATCTCCCTTTACCTCATCAGTTCCTGGCCAGCTGACAAAGCAGACGCCATCCAGAGGGCCCCTTCCCCTTGACCTCTCTCTGTTTCTCTGTGGTTGCTCTCTCTCAGTTGCCACCTCTCCTCTCTGATAGAGATCCCTCTCCTCTTCCTCATCTCACCTCCCTTTCAGCTAGATTCTCTTCTCCCTTCCCCTCCCTCCTTTCGCACCACCTTCTGCAGGCCTTTTTGCCAAGTCTCCTTTGCCCCCATCAGGGGCTCTCATCCCACGCCTGAGCTAAGCAGTGGAAGCAGGAAGGAACTAACTCCCTGCAAGTTGCCTGCTGTTTGCCCACAGAGAGGGCAGTGCACCCACAGCAGAGCCCCAGCAGACAGGACTGCAGTGGAAAGACTGCCACGTCTATTGTTGGACTGTTGGAAGTGCACGGCGGTGGGGGGAAAGGGATTGAGATACTTGTCTCGGAGGCTGTTTCTGAAACTCACACCACCACAGTACACACAGCTTGGAAAGGCTTCCCAAAGGAGGGGGAGAAACGTTTTCCTTAGGTTCATAACTTATAAACAAAGTATATGTTCTCTTTGGCCACCAAAGCCCCCTTTGCAGGCAAACTGCAGTAATGAAATACAGATTATTTTATCTGACTTTGCACTGCAATAGCTACTGTCAGGTTTAGAGAGACCCAAAGAAGTCCCTCCCTGAGATGTTGATCTGGAACGCTTTTTCTCTTACAAAGAAGACAGATTAAAACAGACATAAAATCCACACTTGTTAACAACCCGCCAGCCTGCTGCCAGCACAGCCAGGGGAGCAAGGACACACTGAAGTGCTTCACAGCCTTGGCAGAACCTGCCCTTCCAGCCACAGGAGGAGCTCTATTCCTTGTCCTGCAGCTGGCTGTACTCGTAGTCGACTAGTTTACTCAATGATAAACCCCGAGTTCTACTGGTTTGTATAAAAATTCTCATGACACACATAATTTTAGCTTTTTTACATACACTTCTCATCAGCCTTGCCTCGTGTGCAGCGTGACTCCCAATGGAGCCTAACACACAGCTTTTCCCCTCCTCTCTCCTCCCAGCCATCCCGTAACTTGCACCCTCTCCTATCCAGCAGCCCAGAGCAGCCCCCTCACACGCCGGTGCCCTGAGCCTGAAACAAACCCTTCACCACGCAGCAGTTATTTGCTACCAAAGTTACAGCGATCGTCTCCAAAGCACACCGTTGCAAGGAGACTTCTCACAGAGGGAGACAACAGGCCTTTGTAAACAAAGCCAGGCCAGCGTCCCAGGACAAAGCCAGGGCTTTCCCGCACAGCAGGAGGAAAAGGGCTGGACCACGTCGAGAGAATCAGATCCTCTCTTACTCTAACCAGGGACTTGTGGCCACCAGGCAGGACAGGCACAAATGCCACACACAAATGATAAATTCCATTCGGAGAGAAAGGAGACGAGACGAATTGAACATGGAGCAACAGGGCACTTCACCCTTGCCTGTAGGGACCACACGCTCCTGCAAGCCACAGCTGACCTCAGTGCAGGCATCACCTCCCCTGTGCACACCACGATTTCTACCCGGCCTGGTGATCCAGCCTTCTTGACCACTCACACATGAGTCCTCAGCTGAAAGAGCTTTGTTTCCACCTCCTGCACACACCTGCCGTTTATAGGGGACGCTCAGCACAGCACCCCCGTAAATTCATCATGCAAAGGCCCTTCAAATTCCCACCCTTCACCCACGAGATCTGCCACCACTCCCGTTCAGTTAGGAGCTCCGTGAGCAGCAAACCATGCACCACAGGACATCATCCACATCAACGTCACTGGCAGCTCTCGGAGCACATCCCAGCAGCATCTGCAGCACACTCATGGACCAGAAGAGCACACCATGCTGAGGACACAGAAAGGATGTCCTGCCTTCTCAGGGGCGGGGAGGCCCACGGGCGCAGGAGCAGCCAGCAGACTGCCACTGCAGGTGAGGGGAGGAGCAGAGGGCACCTGGAAAGTACAACAGTTCAAGATGCAGAGGTGTTTCCTTGCTCGCTGCCGGAGAGCTGCCTGTACGCTTAACGTTGCACACCACTGCACTGCTCCTAGTAAGACTTCCCACTACCTGGAGCTATAGCCCTTCCCCGACAGGAGATGGGGAACACACCTCTTGATCAGACCCTCTCCTCCCCAAAATCCACTCGCACTGTGGACACCTGTTTAAACGAGCAAACACAGGAAGGACTGCTGATTTGCTCCTTCCATAACGACATTTTGCCATCTTTTACTCCCCCCACTCTAAGAGAGATTGCGGCAGGGAGAGCTGCAGCCTGTGTTTCAGAGTTACCTTCTCCATCTCAGAGGGAAAGAAAAAAATGCTGCACACAGTGACCATCAGGGCAGACAGGAATCACACACGCACCAGCAGGCTGTTGCACAGGCAGGTGCTCTGCAGTGCTAGACAGGCACAGCTGGGATTACATATGGCCAATGAGTTCTTTCTCCCACCCAGCAATTCAGTAACAGCCTTTACCTGAACATGGTATTTACTAAGCTACCCAGTTGGGAGCAGTAGTTGGACTGGAAAACACTGCTAAAAAAACCAAACCAGAAGAGAGAAGCCTGCCTGCGTCTGTGGGAAGAAAGCATCATCTTCTGTCTGACAGCCAACAGAAACAACTGTCTTGGTGCTAGGGGTCCAGGTCTTAAAAATGCCTAGGATCTTCAGAAGGAGGGGTGCCCACAACAGAAAGCTCATGATAATCATCATCAGAAGTTTCCCACTGGAAGAGAGGCTGGGGAGCCAAGCTGAAGGAAGAGGAGGAGACTGGACTAGGAGCTGGGGTAGATGGCACATGAGAAGGCTGAGGTGGGAGTGGGAGGAGAGGTGCAGGGCCAGAGATATGAGAGGGAGCAGCATTAGCAGGGACTGTCTTTGCAGCTTCTTTGGAAGGTTGGAGCGGGGGAGAGGCTGGAACAGAGACCGTCCTCCTTGGGGGGAGCGGGGATTCTGGAGGAAAAACCACCTAGAAAGACATGGAGGAAGAAGAAAGTGAATAAATCAGAAGAGGAACCAACAAGCACTCCCTGCAACAGGAAGGCTGGTTGTTACCACTATCTTTATCAGAGGGGAAAAGCAGCAAGGAAGAGAAGGGAACTAGAAAACATGCTTCTCTGCCTAGCCCAAGGAAGAGCACCATCTTGGACCCAGAACTTCCTGCACAGATACAGTACCAGGGAAAACACAGCATGTCTCTATGACAGGAGTGGTTTTAAAAATAATCCCCCCATGGACATTTGATATGCGATAGTAGCAGATTGCCCAGATACCATGACCACCACCCTCAGATCCCACTCCAGTTCTCAACCGTCAAGAACAAGGACCCATGTGCTGGATCCCTTTTCAGACAAGGGTGAGTAGAAAGAGTTAGTTCTTCATTTCACGTTGCTTAGGACACTCAGAAACTTAATCTGCACCTCCACACAATGTTATCTGGACAGAGGGACACGCTAGAAGTTACCAGCACATCTCCCTGCTTTCTACCTTCTCTACTTGCTGTCCACCATTCTGCTCCTCCCCCTGGGGTCTGGCAGTGATAATGACCCCCTCTGTCAGCCAGTCATCCTGGCTTTTCCACTCTTCCTGTTCCTGCTTAGCGATGCCCAGTCTGTCCTGCAGCTCTTCAATCAAACGATCTTGGGACTCAGTCTTGTGAAATATGGCAGGACCTAGTTTACGCCTTGGAGAGAGGTCACGGTACATTGGATGTACGTTCGCAGTCTCTTTTGTCCTCTTGATTAAAGATTTAATCTAAATGACAAAGGTAATAGTATCAGCAGAGAAGAGCAATGTCAGAGCAAGCCCCAAGATGCAACAGCACAAACTCAAGCCATTAGCGACAACTGTGAGCAGGAAGAGTGATGACACTTATTCTACAATGCCAAAATTCTTCTTGGCGCAGCCCAGAACAGTGACTCAGTGCAAGGAAAAACCCCGTAAGAATAATCACAGCAGCCAAAAATAACTATCTAGAAAAGGAAGGGAAAGATTAACCAGCAGGAAGCCAAGATAGGAGGTGCAGCATGATCACTCCACTGAGCATTAAAGAAACCTCAGCATCACAAGGACACAGAGCAGCCTCTCTGTGGTCACCCTTTACAGGCACAAGACTCTTGGTCAGAGATGTCTGATGCACAAAGTGCACTTCCAGCGCTGGAAGGAACACTAACAGCTCCGGCCACGAGACCTAAAAAGGCTGGCAGGGCAGAGGAGCTGCCATCCCAAGTCAGGAACATCCCCCAGTGGTGTGAAACAGCCCTTTAACTTTTCAGAGGCCTCTATGGACTAAGCCTTACCCCTGTCAGGGAATAAAAGTCCATTTCACAGGGGAGTCCCTACAAACTGCCCTGTTCTGTGCTGCTGACTGACATGCAGAAGAGACCACAAGACAAAGCAGAGGATTTCAAACCTCCGTGACAGGCAGCTGTCAGTAGCATCGCTCAGAGCTGCATGCTGTTAGTGCGGGTGAGTCGGAGCACGCTCACCCCACACACAGAACGTTAGTGCGCTGTCAGAACCGTCCTGGCCAGGACTCGTCCTACTCCTACATTCATTCAGTGCCTGCCTGGCCTGATGCAGAAATCCTCTCCACGGGTGGTTTGGAGACGCATGGCAGATCCCATTCAGCTTTCCAAACGTTTTCAGGAGATTCCTG